ATTATTGGCATTCTATCTTAGCCAAGCCTTTTTTAAAAAAATAAATAAATAAAAAAATAAAAAGATATAACATCATCAACTGAAGTGAAGAGCTGAGGTGTTTATAAACAATCAAGATTTAGAACACTAAAAAAGTACAAAGAAACAGAGCTTCTTTAAATAAATACCCATACTAAAATATGTAAGTTAGCATGAAATCTTTACCTTCTGTCACAATACAGTTTTCTCTAGACTCATACAGGTCTCAAAATCTAGTGCGTAAAACAATGCGTTTTTTATTATCTAACAGGTATGACAGTGTAAACAGTACACATAGCAATATATTAATATACTTATATTCTGTATATTCCAAACACACACTTACTCAGTAAAGAGGATTTGAAAATCTCAGTGCCTAAGTATTCCATCATAATCACACATGATCTCTTAATCACAAATATGAGCGCAATGTGACTCTTTAAATGTATCTAGAGCAGTGTCTCTCAACCATTCCAGACTACTGTACCCCTTTCAGGAGTGTGATTTGTCTTGCATACCCCAACTTTCACCTTACTTAATAACTACTTGCTTACAAAATCAGACATAAAAATAGAAACGTGTCACAGCACATTACTGAAAAATTGCTTATTTTCCCATTTTTACCATATAATTATAAAATAAATCAATTGGATTATAAACACTGTACTTACATTGCAGTGTATAGTATATAGAGCAGTATAAATAAGTCACTGTATGAAATTTTAGTCTCTACTAACTTCACTAGTGCTTTTCATGTAGCCTGTTGTAAAATTAGGCAAATACACCGCTACCTCGATATAACGTGAGGCGACAGAACACAAATTTGGATATAACGTGGTAAAGCAGTGCTCCAGGGGGGCGGCGCTGCACACTCCGGTGGATCAAAGCAAGTTCAATATAACGCGGTTTCACCTATAACGCGGTAAGATTTTTTGGCTCCCGAGGACAGCGTTATATCGAGGTAGAGGTATCTAGATGAGTTAATGCGTCCCCTGGAAGACCTCTGAGTACCCCTATGGATGCGCGCACACCTCGTTGAGAACCACTGATCTAGAGTACATAGTTAATGAGAAAATTTGCTCTAAAATGCTAAATTAAGATCAGAGTGCTGTGCAGAGCCTGACTGAAGTTTGTACATTAAACTTTTCCTTTCTTAGCAAATATCTTTTGCAGGCCAGGCCAAGCACACAGTGTTTCTAATAGCAATTTCATTTCTTTAAGTGCCACCTGACTGTGTGTAGAAATACTTCAATTCTTTTGCACCCATTTTTTTCTTTTCACAGAAAAGTTTTACATTCTCCTTAGAAGAGCAAAACGTAATTGTAATGTTTTATGTGATTATAGAAGAGCCCAAAATCTCTGAAGCTTTTCATTCTCATACTTAAATAATAAAAATACTGTTGTTAATTTCATTGTGGTGGTTGAGCTCCAATTATTTTTTTTCCTTCAAGCCTTTTGTACATCATACACGTTGTCTCATTAGCCAAAAGGAAAAAATGTTCATTTTCTTTCCAGATGATCTCACTAACTAAGTAGACCCAAAAAACACCAAGAAGCACATGATTTAGACTGTAAACAGTTTCATACAACAGAACATTCTTACCCTTATTATAGTCTGGCAGCCGCTTTCCCTCATTATCCACCACATAAGCAGTTGTAATCTCATTAATAATTTATGGAAGACTTGCAATTTATTTTTTTTACATAAGTCACTTAAATCATTCACTCCTTAAATTCAGGTAAACACACCATTTCAATGCAGTCTTTATCTAGGCTTTATGCACATATCCACTTGTGACAAACTTCAGGCATTGCTGAACTTCACTCCAGAATGGTTGAGAGTTTAATTTCCTGCCTCTAGTTAGATACTAAGCTCAAAAACATTTCAGTCCTGTAATTTTACCATAAAATTTGAGTGCACAGATGTAAATACAGTGTGTGCGTGCGGGCATGCACAATGGTACCAAAATTTCCAGTACACTCATTCATTGCTGCTGCTTGTCTGGATCTCAGTTTAATAACTTACTAGTCTGCATTGGTGAGAAAAGAGAATAACTTATTAGCATTAAAGTGGCACCCATTATTTATTATTTTTCTTGCAGTAGCACCCAGGTGCTCCTGTCATGGATCATGGTCCGTGCCCCACAAAGAACTTATCTAAATAGAAGACAAGAGACAACAGGCAGATACAAACAGATGGGAACATGAGGTGACAAACAATACTACTCAACACAAAAAGCAGAGGTCACAGCACAATAACCTATTCTCCAGAAGCCCATATCAAATCCAGGTTCCACTGTAATAAATACTATACCCTGTTACAGAAGCTCCCGCTCCCTTCCCCAAACAGCTTGCAACCTAAGACCTTGAGCCTGAAGCAGATTCATTCTTGAGGCAACAGCACTTCCCATCAACTCACTGACATCAAAGGCTGCCCAGACTGGTTGTCAAGCCAGGTCTACACCTTTGTGGACTAACTTTTAAACTCCTGGCATTTCTCTTATAAAAGAGAAATCAAACGGTAGCAAACCACAAGTTGACTGGTTGCAGTTGTGAGCTGGCAAACCATTTCACCAAAAAAACCCAGCACCAAAGCTCAGCAATTAATGCTAGCAAAGGCCACCTTCACCACCAAGCTGTCATAGGAGGCAAGAGACATAACAAGTAGAATCCTCTGGGGGATAAATTCCTTTTCAATGGCTCCAAGAGAAGGGCAGCAGTGTATGCATTAATTAATGGTTCACTTGTATACACATAAATTACATAGACAAACAGGAAAAATATATATAGTAGTTCACAGAGGCTTTGCTAATGTTTAGCTATATATATTAAGATAATCCAGTTAAAATGCACCAAGTTCACCTTCTCCTTGTTAAAAACTTGTTTCCACAGTCTGAGGGCAAGTGCTAAGATTTGGTTTCTAAAAAGCTAAAGAGCAGTCACTTAATATGTTCTCTCTGGTGTAAAAAAAAATTAACAGTTGACATAATGAAAAAAACTGGCAAGATATAGCATCAGGAGGCACTGTAGTTAATCAGCTCTGTCCTACAATGAGGATGGTGAACAACAATCTATTTAAACTGGTTGTCCCAAGCATCTCATTCTGAAGAAATCATGTGTCCTGTAACTTTTCCTATATATCTATTTTGTCAATTTTATCCTTGAATGACTGATGAAGTATTCAATCAATTTCAAACTCCTGAGAGTCCCATCCCAAAACTAATTTGCATTACTGATAAACTAGATAGTGTCAAAACACTATTTTGACAGAGAATTTACATAAAGAAAAGCAAACATCTGAGTAACAGATTAAGAAAAATAATTAGGGCTGTCGATTAATCGCAGTTAACTCATGTGATTAACAATTAATCGAGATTAATCGCAGTTTTAATCGCATTGTTAAACAATAGAATACCAATTGAAATGTATTAAATATTTTTGGATGTTTTTCTACATTTTCAAATATATTGACTTCAGTTACAACCCAGAATATAAAGTGTACACTGCTCACTTTATATTATTATTTTTATGACAAATAATTGCACTGTAAAATGATAAACAAAAGAAACAGTATTTTTCAATTCACCTCATACAAGTACTGTAGAGCACTCTCTTTGTCATGAAAGTTCAACATTCAAATGTAGATTTTTTTTTGTTACATAACTGCACTCAAACAAAACAATGCAAAACTTTAGGTTTGACTTCAATGCTTAACAGTTTGCAGCATCAGGATCTAATGTCTTTCCTGTTTGTGGGCATCGGCAGTCACAAAATAAACAGTACTACCTCTGAAGGGGAGCAAAATCTCAAGGATTTCTCATTTGCTTCAATAAGACCGCTTTTTGAAATTATAAAAGATATGGCGTCAATGGACATACTTTGACACAAATTTGTACGAGCATGGCCTTCATGCTGACATAGGCTATACTGCTATAGATTTACACTGCTATTGTTTCACTATATTAGTAGGACAAGTTTTCACCCTTTTCTCCACACCCGACACACAGATTCCAAACATACAAGGAAATTAACAACTTCCATACAGAGCATCAGACACAGTCAAGTTGCTTCTTCATACAGAAGCCATTAATCTTAAATTCTACCTCCTCCTCCAGACTGGAAATCTGATGCTTTTCAACTACAATTCCTGAAGATGTATCATGAACCCAAATATGCCAGGTATGGCTTCATAACACAGTGAAGTAAAAATTCAGAATAGGGTTACCAGATAGCAACTGTGAAAAAACGGGACAGGGGTGGGGGGTAATAGGCGCCTATATAAGAAAAAGTCCCCAAAAACGCGATTGTCCCTTTAAAAACGGGACATCTGTTCACCCTAATTCAGAATGATATACAAGATCAAGCAGAATATCACAGGGCAGCCAGGTTTAACCCTAACCCTAAATCAGCTGTTATGCTCCAGTTTAAACAGGTCACCTAATGTTCATTGTGCTCCAAATTTGAAATGTAGTAAGACTTTTGTCATGTTTTCACTGTGACTGACACCAATCCTCTTTTACTTCATATAAAAATCACATATTGCTATTGACTATAATCCCAAATCACATGGAATAGACTATTACGCAGTCACATTTGTGAAGAGAAAAAGGACAATGTCAACTCATATAGTCCAAAATTTAGATTTTGTAAAAATAAGATTTTATTAAAGAGCCCAAAACAAAAACAAACTTTTCCCTAAATTTCAAATATAGTCAACAGGAGCCATTTTTAATTAAGAGTACCTCTGATGCAGTGTTTGCTATGTGAACTCTAACACACTGAGAACTAAAAAGGGAGCCTGGTAAATTGAAAGCTACAATTGATCTTCAATGTTTCATCTGAGAGAAAATTGAAAATAATTGAAAACTAAATTCTATTTTTAAGTTACTGAAAGTGAAAAAATTAAGGCAGTCTTTTTAACATATGCAAGGAAGTATATGTTGATTGTGTCCCTTTAAGCAGTTAAATTAACCTGTACATACCTGCATGGTGGTAAAAACATGGAGTCCTTCATAAGGACAGATCCAGAAAGAAGAATATACCAACATCTGGCAATAGTGTCTGAACTGTAGGAAAGAAAATCAAAATAACTGATATTGTCATCTATTTGAAAGCAATATAAAATATGTTATATAAGTTATCACTCTGGTACTGAAGCTCCACATTTTACCATACTGAAGATTTAGACTGTAGATTGAAGTCCAAGAGCATTGCTGATACACTGCCACAAATTAACATTTTATGAGTATTCATTTATATTGAAATGGAATGGCCTGTGCAGAATTTTAAGCTGAAATTAACTTTTACCCTAAACCTTAGAATATTTTGAGCCAATTTAAAAATGAATATTCAAAAATAAAATTATATTAACTTGTATTTAAAACATTTTCATCCCAAAGCATGTTACAACTACATATACAAGAATGATTTCACCCTGTACTAAAATTCTTTAGCATTTTAATAGTGCACAATAAGTTTAGGACAGGATGCGAGAAAAAAAAAAATATATCCCACAACAAACTATGGGATGAAATTAGATAAACTATTTAATTGTTCAAACAGGAGTTTAGCAAATACACTAGAACTAACATACCTAGCTATTTCTAAAGTGCCACCGGATTTTTAAATACCAATAGCAGTCAGATCTAATGTTTAAGTTCCCAGTGCTAGAGTGCTTGCCCTAGGATCAAGACCCCTCACAACATGAAGAGGAACTGGTCAGTACCAACTCCAAGGGAAGGATGCCATCTACTGCATCACCAATACCATGTCCATGAGCATGTCAGGTTTTCTTCATGTGTCATCTAAATACATTTGAAAAATATATTTTGGAGGCGCGTGCACACGCACACACTTTTAATGTGAGCTATGTGGTCCAATTCTGTAGGTACTTCTGAAAATCTCAACCAATATATTTGTACAACCACTTAATTTTCAGAGTTACTAATATACTTATTTGCAGTGTTGTTGTAGCTGCATTGATCCCAGGATATTAGAGAGACAAGGTGGGTGAGGTAATATCTTTCTTGCACCAGCAGAAATTGGTCCAATAAGACAAGCTTTCAAACTGTGATGCTTTGGGAATCACTGAGACCAGTAAGGGGTTCTATCACCAACTTGCTTGTAACTTTGGGTGTCTTAATGCTATATTGCTATGGTGGCTCGGAGCTCTGCCACCAGTAGTCAGCCTACTGGCGTGGATTGCACCCTCAGCAAGTTTGCCAGGTGACACTAAACTGGGAGGAGTGGTAGATACGCTGTAAGGTAGGGATAGGGTTCAGAGTGACAAACAAATTGGAGGATTGGGCCAAAAGAAATCTGATGAGGTTCAACAAGGACAAGTGCAGAGTCCTGCACTTAGGACGGAAGAATCTCATGCACTGCTACAGACGGGGGACCGACTGGCTAAGCATCAATTCTGCAGAAAAGGACCTGGGGATTACAGTGGACAAGAAGCTGGATATGAGTCAACAGTGTGCCCCTGTTGCCAAGAAGACTAACGGCATTTTGGGCTGTATAAGTAGAAGCACTGCCAGCAAATCGAGGGACATGATCATTCCCCTCTATTCGGCATTGGTGAGGCCTCATTTGGAGTACTGTGTCCAGTTTTGGGCCCCACACTACAAGAAGGATGTGGAAAAATTGGAAAGAATCCAGCAGAGAGCAACAAAAATGATTACGGGGCCGGAGCACATGACTTGTGAGGAGAGGCTGAGGGAACTGGGATTATTTAGTCTGCAGAAGAGAAGAATGAGGGGGGATTTGATAGCTTCTTTCAACTACCTGAAAGGGGGTTCCAAAGAGGATTGAGTTCGGCTGTTCTCAGTGGCGGCAGATGACACAACAAGGAGCAATGGTCTCAAGTTGCAGTGGGGGAGGTCTAGGTTGGATATTAGGAAAAACTTTTTCACTAGGAGGGTGATGAAGCCCTGGAATGGGTTACCTAGGGAGGTGGTGGAATCTCCTTCCTTAGAGGTTTTTACGGTCAGGCTTGACAAAGCCCTGGCTGGGATGATTTAGTTGGGGATTGGTCCTGCTTTGAGCATGGGGTTGGACTAGATGACCTCCTGAGGTCCCTTCCAACCCTGATATTCTATGATAAAGATCTCAACCTTCCACCAGCCTAGTTACTCCTTGCACGGTGACCTCAACCACCCCCTCCGGTCCCAAGTACCCTCCAAATCCATCTCCCCGAGTTCTTAACCACCACACTCTCAGACTTTTTCCTTTCATCTCCCCCAAACGAATGAAACCTGTCCCCTATTATCAGTTCACTTTGGAGGGACACACTCCACAAAGTTTGCACACCAGAGACCTGCTTGTGGTAAAAATAAACACAAAGTTTATTTAATAGAAAAATCATGAGATTCAAAGATGAAATGGTAAGGAAAAGAAATACATACAAGTTATATAGAAAATAAACAAAGATGCAATCTCAGGCTTTACATTTCTATATTAGTTAGTTTCTCTTTTCTAATACAGATTTCCTATTGTCTCTGAACAGTTTCCTAGCATGTCCTGTCCTAGAGAGAGGATCCAATCTTTTGCAGACAGCACCTCTCTTAGATGTTGTCCCTCAGTTCCCCAATGTCCTTCACTTCAAACCCCTTCTCTTTTACGAGTTTGCAGTTTTTGAACTTTTTTCCCCAAGGTCACCTGAAGAAGAGCTCTGTGTAAGCTCTAAAGCTTGTCTCTCACCAAAAGAAGTTGGTCCAATAAAAGATATTACCTCACCCACCTTGTCTCTCAAATAGACTTTTAATTACTTTTGTCAACCTTAAATGTTGCAGTATTTTGTATTTACAATAACAGTAAGACAAAGTGTACATATATGACAATTTGTTGGTTTATTCTGTACCACTTCTGAATTATGGATGATTTTATGAAATTGTAACATGAAGTTACTATCATGGAAAGCCTGTATGTAGATGGATCACCCATGAGTTAGCAGGGCTGTGTCAGATATCTGCTAGGCTAGAGACAATGGTGAATGATAAGCACTCAACAATGGTCTTTTCAAAGTGAAACACACCTTGAGTCTATGGGATAGCTCTACTTGGTAAAAGATACTTCCTCCTCTTGTCTGATGGAGGTGGGGATTGGAAGTAAAGGAAAGTTACCAGGAGGCAGAACAAAAGAAGCAGGTGACCCCAGCAGGAGTCTATAAAGGGAGGGTGAGTGAGCCATTTTGCACCAGAGTAAGATGAGATTGGTTGCTGCAGGGCAGGGCAGGCAAGGGGATAGAGGACTCTGCCTGCCTACTTTCCTGAACCTCCAAGGTCTCACAAGGGAAGGACAAGCTAGGAAGTGACAGACATTTACAGTTTTGTATGATCTGTATTCTCCTGTGCTTTACGTGAGTAAGGATAAAAGAACATAAAGATGTTAGCCTTGGCAATGTGTGCATGTATTGTGTTGACTGCTTCACAACTACTGCATGCCCCTGAGTGAGTTAACACTGTAAATCTAAAAAAGCTTCACACATTTTGGGGTGAAGTTCTGGGAAAAGGGTGTATTTAATTAACAAGGAGTCTGAAGGTCAGTGCTGCACCCAGAGGGGTTCCAACACTCAAGGTGCAGATAGAAAGTCTGCACCCTAAGAGAGTGCACCTAGGGACCCTGAGATTAGGCAATGGACAAAAAGCTCCAGGAACTTGTAACAGCCTGGAAATCCAGAGCACAGAAGCTTGGATTCCCCTCACAACAATCCTAGTCGGTGATCAGGAGGGGGCACTCGTTAGGATCTGTGATGACACATATAATTTGACATGCAAGCAAGCACTAGATTTCTCCACTATGAGGGTGATGATTGTGGCTTAAATGTACTTACCAAAAAAGAACTTGGTTGCCCTTGTATCTTTCATAGCGAGCACTTGAAGACATTATTCTGAGAAAAATGACATTTTAATTTAGATTTTAAACTCTAAAAATGTTTTTAATCTATTAATCTTTCAGCAATATCACTTTCTTTAAGTATCAGTGGAAGTCATATGAAAGACTAGAAATTTGGCTTTGCTTCTTGAACCATAACTTCAAACTTAAATGAAATTTTCATTATCCAAATAGATAACACACAACATATTCTCTGAGTGTTTAAATCACTCCTACACACTGGGATTAACCATAGCAACAGTATAAGAACAGAGGTACTTCTGATGCATATTTTGTGCTGTTTTGTTTGCCTCTTATTTCATATGTGCGAAGATAATTGGAATACACATATTATTAGAGCATTTGCAACAGAAAGTTAAATAGGATATAATTTGTACTGGACTATGCTATCTCCCCGATCCTTTACCTTAGCTGATGTTCCCTGAGATGTGACAATATGTCCATTCCATGAAGATAAGAATAGATAGTATTTAAGTCCTGCAAACAAAAAGAAAATATCACTTATATGCAATTCAGATGTTAGGCGTATCTAATTTTCCCAATACTTGCCAAAATTATTATGCAATAATAATGTTAACATATTTAACAATGCTAAACATATTTTTGAACAAAAAAAATAGAATAGGAAACAGTTCAGGGCATAAGTAGGCCTGCAGAGCCAACCTACTCTAAGCAGTGGACACAATAAAACTGGTTTGCAACTAACACTTAAGTACTTCCATGGGCAAGATCCTGATGTGGTTTGTTAGTCATAACCTCTGCATGTACAGCATTTATATAGAAGCATAAACGCATATAGCTCTGTACAGTAAGCAGAAGACACCAAATAACAGTGCCTTGCATCCAAGGCCTTACATCACTACTTTAAAGTTGGGTATACTTATTTTACAGAAGAGGCACAGAGAAGTTGAGGAAGATGCTCACAAATCACATAGCATGCTAGTAACAGAGAGTCAGGACAGAATCCAAATAATGTACTCCCTTTGAAACATCTGAATGATTCTCCTTCATCAAACTGAAGTGTTGCATTTTGAGGCACTGCCTTCTCCTCCCATTTCTAGGACACTGGCTCCAAGACACTCCCAATCCTTGCCAGCACTGAAAGCAAGAGACCTGCTTACTGGGACTGAGCCTTTAGTCAAATGCTTGTCAACACAGACCACCACCAGAAAGGCAGCAGATTATCACCGAGTTATTTTTACTAAAGAATTAAACTCTATTTCTAGTAGTAACTCGAGGTAGTAAGCATTCAGCAAGTATTTCTTCAATTATCTTCATTAAACATACATATGTATACATCTGTGAAGCTAGAAGTACAATGTGCTGTTTGCAGCAGCTAATATATTTTTCAGCCACCAAATTAAAACATACTACCCCTAAAACATTTAAAAAAATTTACTTTAAAGATTGGACCTCACATGAGATATAGTTGTTTAAACCTCTCACTGCAAAAACTCTCTTTAGTCACAAAAATATTTGTGCTGATAGAGTAGACCACATGCTAAGGCAAAAAACACTAGAGCTATTCAGCATTTAATTTACTATCCAAAACAGGTGTGCGATTAGTTAGCATTGAACCCATGCATCATACAAGACACACAGAAGTGTAAAACTCTCACCAGCTTGAACATTTGAAAACATGTGTTCCTAAGTTTCCAGTGACAAGGGATGCTATTTCTGCAACATATGCAAATAAAGTATGAGTGTAGGCTTTGGAATTTACAGTAGTTTTTTTGAGAAATTTCTTGGCTTAGTACTCAGCTTCAGAAACATGGTGAATATGGATTCTGTTCCATAAAAAAGAAAGGTCATGGATGGTTTGTATGTGAGCTTTATTACAGTTTCAGATTCCTAATGCTATGAAAATTGCAAAAGTTACTGCTTGCTTAATAAGCTATCTAAAACTAAAGCATCAATCAATCAAAGGGCTTATTAGCATGATTTAAAGTTCCAATGGTGAATTGCTGCATATCAAATCTTAAGCAAAGCCCTTTTATTACAGGTTCTATTGTAAATATGTTCTTTCCACACAGAAATATTACAGTGATAGACATTTTTGTGATCGCAATAAGCGATGCATGTATTTTTCAGTTCAGAGTATGATGAAACATTACATCAATGTACTAGTTATAGAAAGTAATCTTTGAAGAAAATCAAGTGTAACTACTGAAAAAAAACAAGCCTTCAACCAAAATTTAAAAAATCTTCACGATATACTATAGGGCCACAGTTTATTTTAGCATCATTACTTGAAATACTGTAGTCACAGCTTTTGTACAAGAATGTGTCAAACAATATTACCTTATAACTGAATTTTTCTCCTCATATTTCACTACTTAATGTGTGTTTTCTAAAATCCCAAAAATAAAGTGTTGTAAGTAATCTTTGAAACTCAGAGCTTCCACTGCTTTTTAACAATTTGTAAAAACACATTCACTCTCTATTGACAAAGTAGTTTTGATCAGGACATGCAGGCAAATGAACATCACACACACAGGATGGATTTTAAGATGCAGGCTCCAACTTTATTTATTGAAAGCTGGGAGGCACATTACATGCCCCACCTGTCACGGTCTCATACCAGACATTTAACTAGATCTAGTGCAGCGTTCAGGACTCCCACCATACAACTAATAATTTTGTAGACCTGCTTGAGCCCACCCTCAGGAGTCCACTTGCTTCTAAATCCTTTCCACTTTCCCTGAATAGAGACAAAGGGTAGGGAGAGTTTCCCAGTTGAGGACTTCAGTGCGCAAAGACTTCATTTCTCATCTCTTCCCATAAATAAAAAGACCACCAGCACAATCCCAGGTCTCATTTACTTCTGGGAGCTGGTCCCTTTTATCCTTGGATGATACCAGCCACAAGTTTCAGAAAGCTAATACAGGGCTTGTTTACATGGAAAGTTAGTGCTAGGGTGGCCAGGTGCCACGTTTTCGACTGGAAAGTCCAGTCAAAAAGGGGACCTTACTGTGTCCGGTCAGATCTACTGACCGGACACTCAAAGTCACATTACTGCAGGCGGCGGAGGTGGGGAAGCACTGAGTCATAACCCATGCCAGCCCCTAGTCAGCCAGGGCCACCCCATACCTGTGTTGGGCAGCTACAGCTCCCAGCTCCAGCATGGCAGGAAGTCCCTCTTGACTTGGGCAGGGGGGGAAAGCAGCAAGCGATGGGGGGCAAGGGGGAGAAGAGGAATGGATGGGAGTGGAGCCTTGGGGGAAGAGGCAGAGGTGGTGCCTTGGGGGGGTGGGGGAGAAGAGGTGGTGCAGGGGAGGTTCCGGCACTCCAGCTGGAATGTCCAGTTTTTAAAATTGGCAACCCTAGTTAGTGCATGGCAAGCCATGGTGTGAATCTATAGTGCACTAACCTATCACATACTAACTAGCCATGAGGACCCTGCTACTGTGCACTAAAAGTTCCATAGTTAAATGTTGAATAGGAGTATGTTAAAGTGCACTGCAGAACTTTTAGTGCTCGGTATCAGGGTCCACATGACCAGTTACTGTGCGGCAAGCTAGTGAGCTGTAGATTCACACCCTGGCTATGTGCCAACTGTCCGTGTAGACAATCTCTCAATCTTATTTTTCCTAATATTACATCTTTTTAAGTGTTAATATTATAACATAACTGTGCCTCCATGATGCTGCAAGGAAGGCAAGAAAACACTCAGCAGCTCTGTGGGGATAGTGCATCCACAGTCTGGTCAACACTAGGAGCTGTGATGGGCTTGGGCATGCTCAGTGAGGATGCAATCTTTGGAGATTTGAGAGATTAAAACTGAAAGTCTGGACTGAGCATGTGCGAAATACAACTTTTTGGAGGCTTATAACCTGATCAAGTTTCGCAGGTTGTTATGAGGATGGCAAAAGGTACAACTCAGACAAAGACACCGTATTTCCTTACCAAATTTTAAGTCCCTGCTCCAAAGCTAAAACTATTCAAAGAAAAGGTTGCCAGTATTATTTTTAACATGGGCAAAACAATGTCTCCTCCTCTAGCCTTGTTCTCAGAAACAAGTAGGCCATTTTGGTTGAAGTTTTCTGGCGGGAAAAAGAGGCAGCCTGAGGCAGACACCTGGCATGGAAAATTTCAGACTAAATGGTTAAAGTTTCACAAAGTTATAAGAAACTAAAAACAGGGTCTTACGAGACGTGTCTGGCAACCTTACTACTACTAGCTCTGCCTATATAATCTGTAGACAGCTGTTGAAAACAGATGCTTAAAAAGTCATATTGGCTTGGTGGGAGCTAGGAGGCTAGTTATTTTTTATGAGTGCAAAGTCACAGTGACTGCACATACAAATGACCACTCAGACTGCTCATATGCATGGACACTTCTACTGATCTGGACCACTCCAGCCAGACCTTTAAATAGCCATTTTGTTTATATGCTTGAAGGAATAAAATCTGTTGTGCTCCTTCATTTTAAAAGTGACACAAGCACTGGGAAAACAAAGTATTAACTAACAATAGATAACTCCTAAAAAGAAACCTCCAGTTTAATTCAAAACCTATTTACATCAAGATATATGAATGTTAAAAGGATACTTATTTCCCTGTCGGCAATTTTTAAGATAGTGAGAATATGGTTTATGCCAATATTAAAAAGGGTCTACGTTTTCTGCAGTTTACAACTTTTGTGAGTAAAAGAATGCATGAGAGAGGCAGGTTTTCAGGGAAGTCCTAGTGAAAGATTGTCCGATAGGAAAGTTACCAAAGCAATTATACAATGCCAAGAGCAAAATGGCTGTATTTTAAAATTTAAGATGGCAAAGTTACTTAAGAATATTTTACAATCCTTCTATTCAAGAAGTCAGTCAAGGATTTTATTACACCTTCCTCACTAAACCTGGTTTAACTCTTGCACAGTAAGTACGTTCAAACTACACAGGAGGTCAGACAAGATTATCATAATGATCTCTTCTCAGGGTGGATAAAAATAAATGATTTCTTAAAAAAAAAATCAGATTTTTTTTATAAAATGCTTTTTGAGGGGAAAAACCTATCTAAATATAGTTTTAATCAAGATACATTATAGCTCAAAGATATCTCATCAGGGAATAGGGATTATAAATTCTAATTCTATAGTATGAGACAATATATTCATGTAATGTTTAAGAAAAGTTTTGTAAATGAGTTTCAATAGTTCATGGGTTAGGGACCAATCTTATGGAGTTCCAGGTGCTTCTGTATAGATTATTTAGGTTAATCTTTCTATTTACCCAATGGGACTCAATGCTCAGTCTAGAAGATACCATCAGAGATGCTTAATTTTGCAGTTCTCAAACTGTGGATGTGTCTCCAGAGATAACATGCTTATTAACAGCAAAAATGTTTTTAAATAAATAAATAAAATACAGAGGTGAGAAATAACAGACCTCAATCCTATTGTCCCTGTGACGTTGCAGTCTATATGATTTTATAAAAATATGCTAATAAGTGAATATAATGTAACTGGAATATGCTTCATGCAAA